TCGAATCTGCCGACCACATGCCACCAAGAAATTTTCAGCCTTCGGATCGCTCGCATGTCGAACTGTTGCGATTGTTCGACCCGAACTAAGGTAACACCAATGCCATTAACAGAGCATGACCGTCAACTTGCTTTTCCTGTTAATACATCCGACCGACCAGCAGGTAAATTCTGCGCTATGCTTTCTGCCATACATATCAATTCTGTTTTCCATTCAATTCCATCAGAAATTGACACGAATTCGCTCAAAGAAATTTCATGGCTTCAATCGATCTTGATTTAACATGATTAGTTTATTAAAGTCCATAAAAAACAAAACAATTATTTAAGGAGATCCTACTAAGCCTAACATTATATCTTGGAAACTCATCATGGAAAAAAAATAAAATATAAAAAGATCTCGTATTTACTTTACTAAAATCAAAATCCACCAAGAATCCGTTAGTAACTTCTAAAATCAAAAAAGATCAAATCTTTTCACAGACCAATAAAGAGTGATCCATTATACATACACTAGGCGTGTGCGAGAGAGACCCAAATCAAAAAAACAAAAGAAAACACGATTGTATTTGAGGAATGAAGCTCGCCCTCAAAAATCGTGTAAAACCCAACATGCCTAGTTGACATAGTCCTTCTTCTACCAAAGAACCCCAAATGATCCCATCCTCCTTAGTTTTTTTTCCTCTCAAATCTTTCCCAAAATCAAAAGAAATTTCTAGGGTTTTGAGAGGGGTGTTTCGATTCAGAACTAGAGGAATTACCAGAAAAATGGAAAATTTGGGTAAATTATATTCTAATAATAGTACGGGCAGATAAACGGCCGAACCTTGAAACATCTTTGAACCCAAACCCAAATCACCCAGTCTAGGAACTTAATCGATTTGACCAAACTCATTGATCAGTCATACCAAACCATCCCAACACATATCGGTCGATCTGATTCAAGGCAATCGACGACCCAGATCGTGTTTAGTCGACTAGTTTTTTATATATACTTGCATTGTATCACAATATATTGACCATATATATATACCTAACCATCTCAAATTAATCACAAACCTACTCCATTCATCCCCAGAATATATCAATTATAATAACACACACACCACTCTTCGCACCACATTATTTGTCATTATATATTTTTCCAAAATTACGTTTGGTTTTTCTTCCACAACTCTTCCTTATAAAGAGAACCTTCTTCGCCCTAATTATCACTATGAATATCACAAAACATGTGCTATAATACGTCAATTATTTACTTTAATATTTCTATTGTAAACTTTCTTTATATCTATCTTTCTCTACTTTAACTCTCTTAATTACACAGAACCTATTATTTTTTTGGGGTCTGATTATATATATTCCTATAAATGGGATTATCCATGTGTGTTTACCATAGTCCTTGATATATTAGGTGGGTCTTAATTTTTTATATTTTGTAATCGCTTCTATATTTCCATCGTGAATTGTAAATATGCCACTTTATATCAATATATATAAACACTAACAATCTTTTTTATCTATTCTTTTATTTTACTAGGTAGTTTGTAGTCTACGACAATTCCGTCCTCTTCGCTCTCTCCTAGAATAGCTCTTCATCCTGTTCGTCCTCCGTCTTCATTTTGTCGATTTGCCTCTATAGACTATTTCTTATCTCTTCGACTTTCACATTTCTAGAGTGTCTCGTCCCGGCGCTGGTCAACGAATGTATTGGTTAGTTCTCAATTTGTATTTCTAATCCCGCCTCCTGAACCTCTTTTTCTTAAATATGTAGTGGCATTTACTGAAATTCAGTTTGTCCTCTATTGCTTCCTTCAATCAGTGTAGCTTTCTTCTTTACCGTATGTAAATACAAAAAGACTAATCATATCCCATACACCTGTATCTATTCTTTCGATGGTTGCATTTATTTTTTGGTTTTTTTTTGTGTTTGCGATGACCGCGCTTCTATACTACATTCAACCAATCACAAATACACCGATATACTCGGGCAAAGCTTCCACACCTTGTCAAACGTTTTAAACAACCTTCTATTGTGATACCATCATAGGCAGCATAGTCGTCCAACTAAAACTCTAAGGATCTGCTCCTGATCGCCAGCACATTGTTATCTCTCTCAGTTACCGTAACAAATCCGTCCCCAAGCTAATAAGCTGATTCTCTTCTCGTGCTGCAAAACGAAATCTGGAGATCCTACAGGGCCCTTTTCATACAATGTCGTACTAAGGCCAGGCCATGACCGTAATAGTCGTATCTGATGAACTATAGTTGTCTATCACTGCAAACTGCGATCAACTATATATGCATCCTCCCAACTACCTTGGAAAATGTAAAACACAATTGTCTGAAGCCATGTCTTTCCCCTAAACACTTGGTTAACGCTCTCCTCTATTTCCAGTTTTCTGTTCGTACAAACCACATTGCTATAGGTAGGGCTAGCCTGCTGTTCGAAAGAACTTTCTGGAGCCTTCAAGAAACTCGAGAATGAACGATGTGCAAAACTCAGAAGCCCGCGACTCCGAACACAATTTCTCTAAAATTCCATGCAATATCACATCCCTTGATCCTCCGCGACAGGTCTCCGTCGTATAATTTCTTCAACTGGTAGGAGTGCGGACTTCTTGCAATCACAACCCTTCTGATGTTAGCTTGCTACAGTATGCGTATGACTATATACTAAGTGTGATTAATAATAAAGCGCTAAATTTTAGGGCCTTCTCTCTTAAGAGGGTGAATGTAACCTTAAAAATTTAAAATATTGTATCAAAATCAACTGTTCTATTATCCCGCTTGTGTTTTCTGGATGAATGGACCTGTTTGTAACACTTTGAATCAAATTATTATAGCCTATATACATATATATATTATGTAATAGTATGATATACGTATACTATATCATATATCATACATACGATATGCATCAACGGTATATATATATATTAGTATGAATCAATCATAATATTATATATATATATAAATATATATAATCCTATATATATATAGATATATATATATAGATATATATATATACTATCATTATATATATATCTATTATATATATATATATCATAATATAATATATAAATATAATAGTATATATAATATAAGTATATAGTTATATTAATCAATAATGTTATAATTATATCTATATATATTAAAGTATATATACTATATATAATATCATAATATAAAGTATATATAGTATATGTACTATATATTAATAGTGCTAAAGGTATATTTTGGCGATTTTGGCGATCACCGGTGTTCTGGCGATTTGGCGTCCTCGGCTATGGCTTCGGCCATGTCAGAGCCTCCCTTCAATCCTAAAGGTCAAATACAACCTTCTGAGGATGGTAATCAAGATTGGATCAAGGTAGTTTCTCGTAGGAAAAGGAATCAAAATTTTGCAAGATCTGCTGTTTCATACAATGGAAATCCTCGGAAGAATGTTCAATTTGAACGGAATAAGGATATTGGTGGGCTTCAATCTATAGATTTAAATCATCAATCATCGCATCAGCAGACAGTAAAATGGAAATTCAAATCTGGTGGATCCACAACATGGAAAGATGTATGTTCTATGGGTCGTGAGGTAAATCAGAATTGTTCTTTGGAATTTTTTTCCCCATTTATTGATAGCAAAGGTCTCTCCTATGCTTCTATTCCTAGATCTGAAATTCTTATTAATGTTGAAAAATGGAATAATACGCTAATTGGTTATGTTCTTGGTGATAAACCTTTCTATTCCCATTTAAAAGGTTGTGTCGGTCGGCCATGGAAACCAAAATGTTCACTTGAGATATTTTCTAGAGAAAATGGTTTCTTCTTCTTTAAATTTGGATGTCATGAAGAGTTAAACAGAGTTTTGAATGGAGGGCCTTGGTTGTTTGATGGAAGGTTGATTATTCTAAAAAAATGGTCTGAAAACATTGGTTTAGAAAGAGAACTCCCCACTTCAGTTCCAGTTTGGATTAGATTACCATCACTACACCTCAAGCTTTGGTCTAATAATATTATTGGTCGTATTGCTAGCCTTGTGGGTAATCCTCTTTATATAGATCAAGCTACTGCATCAGGCGAAAGGTTAGCCTATGCTAGATGTTTTCTGGAAATCTCCTCTAAAACTAAGCTACCAAATTCTGTGAGAATGGATTTAGGTAATGATGAATGGCTGGAAACTGCCGTTGAGTATGAATGGATACCACCTAAATGTAATAAATGTCAAAATTTTGGTCATGTTGAATATCAATGCCCTGTTGTTATAGTTGAGAAATGGATTCCTAAACCTACATCAAATGAAACTGAGATGGGAGAATCTATGCCAGATGACAGTTCATTAATCAATGATAATTTATTAAAAGACAATGGTGGTCCAATATATGAAGATGCTGACATCCATAAGAATCAGATAAATGTCGAAGCTATTAATGCTGAAGAAACAATTCATGATGCTTATACTATTAATGATGTTCATTTGGATTCTGAGAATTTATCGGATCATGAGTTGGTAAACCATAATGTTGAAGGAAAGGATATAAATGCTGATTTAAATGCCAAGGAGGATCCTACGAAATATAAGTCTGCTCACACTGGAAAAACAGATACCACGGATACAGAACTGTTTCAGATATCTGATCCTTTGAAGAATGTTGTTGCTGTCATATACAAAAATGTTTCTATAACTGAACCAATCAAATCTGTCTCATCAGGTATTATCGAAGATAGATCAGGCTCCTCTGTCCATTCTGATGCTGTTAATCCTATAAATGTGAATAACTCTGATCAGGACAAAAATAAAACATGCTTTATTGATGCTACGCAATCTGATGGGGGAAAGTCAAATGAGAAAGGTCTAGATTTTCCTATTGCTATTGATAATCCTGACTGGTTAACTGAAAAAGATCAGCTGCTTATGAAGAAGAAGAATCAGATCAAAGTGAATAAAGACTCTCTAGGTCCAAAGAGGGTTACAAGGGTCTCCTCAGCTAATATCTTATGACAATGTTATTCTGGAATGTTAGAGGCATGAATAAATTGGGAAGGAGAAGGGATATTAAAAATCACATACTAACTTTAAAGCCCAGTGTAGTTGGTTTGTTGGAGACTAAAGTTAAATCATCAAAAGCTTACAGAATTATGAAGTGTATACCTGCTCATTGGTCATATTGTAACAATTATATTGATTCAAATAGAGGAAAAATATGGGTGGTATGGGATTCAGAGGTCTGGAATGGTGAAGTTTTATCTGTTAACTTGCAAATTATAACTATCAGGCTTCAAAACAAAGGAGGATTCACTCTAGTTTTGAGTGTCATTTATGGTGACAATTCAGAATCTGTAAGATCATCATTATGGGCTAATATAAGAGATATCTACGAAAAATTTTCCACTTTGCCATGGTTGTTAGTGGGGGATTTCAATGTTTGCAGATTTACCTCAGAAAAATTTGGAGGTATACAACTGACAGTCAAAAAGCTCCAAGATTTTAATGACTGTATTCAATCATGCGGCCTCTCTGACATCAAGAGTACTGGTTCACAATGGACATGGCATAATAAACAACAAGGTAAAGGCAGAATATATGGAAAATTAGATAGAGGATTGGGTAATGAAAAATTCTTTGATCATTTCCCTCAAGCCTTTATAGAGTATAAAAGTACTTCATCTAGCGACCACACTCCAGTTCTTCTACATCTCACTCCCAGAATACAATCTGGACCTAAACCTTTCAGGTTTTTAATTTTTGCATGAATTGTTAGGGTTATGAGGATACTTTCAGATATGTTTGGAACAAACATTTTACAGGTTCACCTATGTTCATATTGGCTTCTAAACTTAAAGATCTTAAAATGGCCCTAAAACTCTGGTCTAAGCATTCTGATATATCTCCCAAAGCTAATATTATGAGGTTAACAAAGCAGCTGGATATCATTCAAAAAGAGCTGAATCAAGACATGGATAATGAGGAATTACAGGATAAAGAATCTGCATTAAGTGCCGAACTAGAAGGTTGGCTTGGTAGAGAGGAAGATGAGATGAGGCAGAAGAGTAGACAGCTATGGCTTCAACAAGGTGATAAAAACACTATATTCTTTTATAATGCTATCAAACATAGGAATTCTACTAATAGCATCAGGCAACTCATTGCTCAAGATGGTACGCATACCACTTCAAATGATCATATTAAATTCAGTGCTCTCAGTTTCTATGAAGATCTTTTCAATCAAACATCCTATTGGAATATTTTCCCTAAACTGACAGTTAAGAGGGTTCTCACTGATGCTACTAAACAATGGTTAATAAAGGAAGTTAACTACAAGGAGATTAGAAATGCCCTTTTCCAAATGAATGCAGATAAGGCACCAGGTCCAGATGGATTCAATGCATATTTTTATCAACAAAATTGGGACACAGTAAGGGATGATGTTGTTCTGGCAGTGCAGAGTTTCTTTTCTTCTGGTACACTTCTTAAACAAATTAATCATACTTTTCTCACTCTTGTGCTGAAATCAAAAGAAGCTACTTCTATTCAAGATTATAGACCAATTTCTTGTTGCAATGTCATTTACAAGATTATTACTAAAATCCTGGCCAATAGATTAAAACTGGTGGTTGGAGAATTGATTTCTAAGAATCAACATGCTTTTCTTCAAGGGAGACATATAGGGGAGTGCTCTTTACTTGCTCATGAATTGCTTAGAGATTTCAACAAGAATCATGGTAAGAGAGCCTGTTTTAAGATTGATCTTCATAAGGCATTTGATAGCATCAATAGGGAATTTGTATACTATATTATGCACTGTATGGGCTTCCCAGTTAAATGGATTAATTGGATTAGAGAATGTCTATCTACTCCCTCTTTCTCAGTACTATTAAATGGTTCCTCCTCAGGATTCTTTAAGAACAGGAAAAAGAGCAAAATTTATTTCAGCAAAGGATGCAACTATAAAGGTGTATTAAGCTCAATTGTGGGAATTGCTATTGGGAATCTTCCTATGAAATACCTAGGATTACCTCTATCAGCCAAATACCCGAAAGCTAAAGATTTTCTTCCTCTAATCGACAAGATCAGAAATAAGATTGAAGGCTGGATGACACATTCTCTTTCATTTGCAGGGCGATTGGAGCTTGTTAAAGCTGTCTTATTCAGTACCTCAGCCTATTGGTATTTTGTTTATAAATTCCCTATATCCATTGTCCAAAATTTGGAATCAATTTTTGCAAATTTTCTCTGGAATGGAAAACTTCATGCTATCAGTTGGAAGGAGGTTTGTCGGCCAAAACAGGAAGGGGGATTTGGTCTGAGACAACTAAGTGATCTTGGTCAAGCAGCTGCTCTAAAATTAATATGGAGACTATTAACAACTAATACTCTATGGTCAAGCTGGATGAAAGTCAGATATGTCAGAGGAGGTAATTTGTGGAATTCTACTTCTAATCTATTGGATTCAGGTACCTGGAAGCACATAAACAGTCATAAGGAGAAAGCTCTGAGCTGCATTAGGAAAACCATTGGGAATGGGGAGGCTACTTCACTTTGGTTTGACCCATGGTTACAGGAAGGTAGAATTTGTGAACTTCTAAGCCAACTAACTCCTCAACTTACAGGCACTAGTACTTGGACAGTCTCTCACATCATTCAAAACTCTCAATGGAATTTCATCTTGCCATGCCTTAGTCCTCTGATACCTTTCATTACTAAAATATCAGTGTCAGGTCAGGAAGATCAATGGATATGGTTGCATACTGGTGATGGGATTTTCTCTTTTTCCTCAGCTTGGAATCAAGTACGGATACACTACAACATTTTTGAGCTTTACAATGTGGTATGGTTTCCCTACTCTAATCCTAGGATGTCTTGTTGCATGCTTAGAAGATTAAATAATAGGTTACCTACAAGAGACAGACTTTTCAGATTTGGTATTACCTCAATAGAAGTTTGTGCTCTCTGCTATGCCTCGAAGGAGACTAGGGATCATCTATTCTTCCAATGTGAATTTTCAGCATTTATTTGGAAGTTATGTAAACTTAAATTGCAGCTAAAGGCTACAGATGCAAAGGAGCTGAAAACAGAAGCCCTGGAAATCAAGGAAAAGTTCAAATTTAAAGATAATACTTATATTTTGGCTAGATTAGCTTTGAATGCAACAGTGTGGCATATTTGGCAAGAAAGGAACAGGAGGATATTCCATGATCGAAAGTTGCACAAGATTATGGTGTTCAGAAGAATTTACGAAGATATCAATATTTTGCTTAGGACTTGCAATTGGAAAGTTGGTAATTCTGTTATTCTAACAAACTGGGGCTTTAATAAAAGATGAATATTTGAGAGCGGGATGATAATGTTTTGTATTTGAGAGTACTATTTATTCTGTAATCTGTTTGGCTTTTGGTAACGCTGGGTGCTTGCTGGGTTCCTTTAGTTGAGGGTGACAGCCAGGGTCCTTTCCCCTCTCTATAGTTTTCCTAGTTTAGTCCTTAGCGTTGCATAGCCAAGATTGTATCTTATGTACTTGTATTTGGCATTAATGAAATTTACTTATCTTTCAAAATTTCACTGTTGAGAAAATTTCCCCAACTTTTTGACTATTCATTCTGGATGAAATTTTGGGAAATATTGCTCCTTGATGGAAGTTTATTCGAAGGAAAAACAGTTCAAAAAAAAAAAAAAAAACACCTCGGGTCTATTTGCATTAATGCTACTAACCCCTTTTCCCCCTTAAGAAAGAGATTAATGGTACACGTTGCAAGACGTTTTTCTTTTTTACATGTCTTTTCGTCATACCATCGTCAACAAAGCCGATTACCTGGATTCGGATCCTCTTCACTATCTAAAAAATAGTGGAGGGACCACTACATAATCACAACCATTGATTATCTAGTTGCTGATTGTGATTTTTTCTTTGAGTGCGAATTAGGAATGCGTGCAATACACGGGGATACTGTGAGTGTTGGATTTAGATTGTATCATAACCGCCTACTAAGTAATCAACGATTGAGATTAAAAGTAGTGGTCTCTCCACTATTTTTTTGTAGTGGAGAGGATCCAAATTCTCCTAGTTTGTTAAAAACCTTGAAATTAAGAGATAATTATTGTATTGGAATACAAATTTATTTGCTGAATACAGATGTTTCCAAAGCAGTAACATTATTCATGAGATTAACCGTAAAAGATCACAACTTTTCCTAACAGCGCATTTCATCACAGCAATCTCTTGAGCTAATCAAGATAAAACATTCAGAGCTTTCCCGTAAAGTTGAATTTTGCGCAGCTCGTCCGCTTAAGGAGCAGAGAAGAAGTAAAAGGAGAGAGATCGGTCGAGTACTTTATTCAGGTGAAGCACATCAAGGTGAATTGGGATGTCGTGCCGGTGAAAGCATCGCTGCTGGAGATCGACAGAGAAGGGAGAGGGGGGACGAAGATCAGTACTGTTGCTCCCTATACTGTGATGGAGTCGTCTATTTACAAAGCCGTGACCAACGCATTTGCTGCTAGAATGAGCAAGGATAAGGTCAAGAGTGTTGCTCCCGTTGCTCCTTTTAAGCTGTGTTATAATGCTGCGGACATCGTGAGCTCCGGCACTGGGCCCTCAGTGCCTCCGGTCGACCTCGTGTTGCATAATCATCACGTTGTTTGGAGGATTTACGGGGCAAATTCGATGGTGGAAGCGAAGAAGGGAGTTTTGTGCCTCGGATTTGTGGATGGAGGAGCGAAACCGAGGACGTCGATTGTCATCGGAGGGCATCAAATTGAGGACCACCTGCTTCAGTTTGATCTGAGGAGGAGGAGGCTGGGATTTACTTCTTCTCTGCTCCTTAAGCGGACGAGCTGCGCAAAATTCAACTTTACGGGAAAGCTCTGAATGTTTTATCCTGATTAGCTCAAGAGATTGCTGTGATGAAATGCTGTTAGGAAAAGTTGTGATTATAAAGTGATCTTATATATAGAGAAAGACTCCTATCAACTTAAGTGGATAGGGAATAGTTATCCACCAAACTTTTTAGCCACTCATTTATTAATATAAAAAGTCTCTTCATATCATGCAAGGATCCCTAGGCAAGATCCATGGATAAAAAGTTTGGTGGACAACTATTTCCTATCCACTTAAGTTGATAGGAGTTTTCACCCATATACTCGTACTGTCTCCACCAAGGCCCATGGCATTGTTTTGTGTGTCCCGTTCGTTTCCACCGTATCTTCGTCGTCCAAACTCGGAATTGCGCGATTTAAAGTACGAAGGAAAGCCGATGAGGAGATTTACAAGCTCCCATGGTTGAATCACATATGGAGTAGATGGGATATGAGGGGCACTTCATCTTTCATAAGCAAAGCGTAGCTCCCGATCAGTTCATATCTTCGTTATTCTGCATTTCCGTTGCTTCACACGGTTCGTCGACTTATTTCATGCGCTCATTGACGTCAATTAAGATTCTATGACTCGGATAGTGATGTTCATCATCTTCTCTCTGCTTCGAGCTACGTGTGAGAGCCTGTAGGTATAATTTTTTATGCCTACAGATACCCCCTCCAAAGTCTTTCAGTCTCGTTTCTTTTATAGAAGGGCCTGAAATACTTTGGATATGATCGAAGGCCATGCGTTGACTAGAGGCTATGCGTTGGCTATCATTATAATATGTTGACCGGTGTTGACTTTTATCATAGCGTGTTGATTGGTGTTGATCAGAGGCTACGCATTGACTATCATTGTAACACGTTGGCCGGAGTTGACCTGAGGCTACACGTTGACCGGCATTGACTCAGGGCTATGTGTTAACTCTCATTACAACATGTTGATCGGCGTTAACTTTCATTACAACACGTTAACTGGAGTTGACTTGAGGCTAACTCTCATCAGAACGTGTTGACCGGCGTTGACTGGAGTCTATACAGTTTAGGCTCTTAAGGCATTAAAGCGTGGCAGTCCCAAATGTCGGGTTGCAATACCAACTATTAAAGTTATTTTGTCTACAGGTATGAATCTTATCCTGAAATTTATTGGATGCTCAAGTCACGAGACCAACTAATAAAGCTGGTGCGTTAATAACTCTTGTCTTTATAGGATTTTTGGTAAACCCTTAGCCATCAACGGGTTTGATGAGCCTTTACCGACTACCGTTTGAGTCGGGCTAGCATATAGATTATTTAAGTGTGTTCTGCATGTAACGTTATGCCAAAAGAGTTAACTCTTTTAGTACTATGAGATTGAATACGTAGACTTTGTCTTTTTCACGGGAATAGACTACCTGACAATGCGCGTTAGGCACTGACTTATCCCTACTTAGGCTTCGGGATAAAATTCCTCGTACATGTGAGACATGGATTTTGAGAGTTGAAAAGTAGTGTCTTCTCTTAGGGCAAAGACGAACTCAATGCTGGAGAGGAAGAATTTTATATTCTATCTCCAGTTGAAAAGGAAACTCAAAGTGGGATCTTCATTCCGAGAATCAAAAAGATTCAGATAATCCTAACTGTCAGAAGGTTTGATTACCAAACTAAAAGTGAATTTTTAGTTTATCAAGAGTGAATTATGGTTTTGGCCCTAACTATAGGAAGGTTTGACCAAGCAGGAGCTTGAGGTGACCCTAACTGTAGGAAGGTTTGATCACTCAATTTAAAAGTGGACCTCTCGTTCATGGAAGAAATCGAGAAGAGATTTTTGTTTTGGCCCTAACTGTAGGAAGGTTTGACCAAATAGGCGGTTTGAGTGATCCTAACTGTTTAAAGGTTTGATCATTCAATTTATAGATCTCTCGTTCATTAAAAGAATAGAGAGGGGATTTTGTTTGTGGTCCTATTGTTTAAAGTTTTGACCAAGTGGAAGTGAAAGTATAAATCACAGTAGGAGTGTTGACTTGTATGAATCACTCAGTGGGGGTTTTTGATGTCAAATGACGAGATCTTAACATGAAGGGGATTTGACAATCGCAATAGACTGTTCAAATTAAAATTTCCAATGCTATGTCAGGATTTTAATAGCGGGAATTTAGTGTTTATCATTTTGTTTGTAATGATCGGGTTATCTCTAAGAATATTACATATAATATTCTTCTGGGAACTTCCCATTATATGAATTATCCACCCCCAGCTTTCTTTGCAAAACTGGATCCAATGAGGAGCACATTGTCCTCAGTCGCATGTTCGGGTTATCCTTCAAAATATAAGATTCTCTAGGAACTTTTCGTCAAATGTGGGAAACAGTTTAGACTCATATACCTATTCGAGTACGCAGGGAGCAATTTAACCTCATACACTTGATGGAGGATTAAGAAGTAGTTTATACTCGTATACTCTTCGGAGTCTTGATTCGGATTAATTTAGCGTTATGACGCCAACTTCAACCAAGTTTATACTCGTATACTCTTCGGAGTCTTGATTCGGATTAATTTAGCGTTATGACGCCAACTTCAACCAAGATTTGGATGCTATTCTTGAGGGCGTCTTGATTCGGATTAATTTAGCGTTATGACGCCAACTTCAACCAAGATTTGGATGCTATTCTTGAGGGCAAAACAAGCCATAGTGGGAAGAAGGATCCTCCTATGGTACACGTAGTACTTTGGACCTGAGGTATTGATAGCTTTCTCCTGATTTGTGATAGGTGACAGTTTGATCTTGTTGTTTTTAAGGAGGGATTCAAAAATGGCCGGAACGTCTTCGTCCTTAAAGGAGTATTCTTTTTGGAATCTTGGATCCGAGATCTTTTGCTGTCTCCCGGGTTGCTGTTGTGACGTCTGATTAACATCAACAGCTGGTGTAGATACCTTCCCCTTTCCACAGGAGACGAAGTTTAATTTTGGAGGGTTAGTCGTTAGTTGGCTTCTCTCGGCCTTCTTCCTTCTGAGGAAGCATTCGGCCTGCTCTGCATGCACCTTTAACTCTCTCTAGGTGTTGAACGGTGCTACTCCCATAACTTCCAAAATATCAATGGATAGGTTGTTATGATAGGTTTAGAGGATGAAGTCCTCTGTGACTGGGTCTTGATAATTCATCGTCTTATTTCATAAGCACTTAATGAAGTCGTCGACCGTCTCTTCATCTTCCTGTTTCTCCTCAAAGAGTGTCCTGATGGATATCTTAGCGTCGTCATCAAAGAAATTGCCAAGGAATGAGCTTTCCATTTTGTCCCAGCCGTTGATACTTCTGTTAGCCTACTTGTTTTGATGATGATTTACAAACAATTTACTACTAATGTTATTTGTCTAGTGTTTGTACATTCCTATGTATTGTAGACAAACAACGTAGATGGAGGATGGATGGAATAGAGCTTCAACGATCATATCCAAAGGAGGTTGGTGGAATGTCGGTGAAGCCTTGCAATTCAAGTTAAAGATCAAGTTCAAGCTTCATCCGCATGTGTACCAAGTCGAGCTTAATGAAGATCAAGATCTAGCTTGGGTAATTTAGTATAGGTTTATATTATGTGTGTTTAATACGTTAAGCTCAATATAATATACACACACATTTTATTGGTTTCTTCGTATATATATATAGTTATATATATATACACAAGTTTTGGTTTCTATGCATATATATAGTTTTATATATATACATACATAGTTTTGAGTTTTCATGTTTATAAATATGAAATCACATGTTTCATATTTACTATTGTGTTTTGGTATTTATTGCATAGAATATGCAATTTTGTGAAAATATTATATTCTTAGTTTTTGGACTTAACAATAATCATATACATACTTTATTAAGTCTATATAATCATTGTGCAAAGTTTCAAAACATGGTTTAGCCAAAATGTCAAAATTCACATGTTTCCATTTTCGTGTTTTGAACTATTTTGCAAAATGATGATTTTTCACGAATGGGAAATGCAATTTGGAAAATTCTTTTTGTAACATGTTTATATACATTTCCCAAAGTTTCATTATTTTTGGACTTCATTTGTTATTTTTAACAATTTTCCAAAAGTCAAAAATTTGTTTAAAACTGTTTTTCAGTAGTATCAGTATTCGGTCGACCGCACCAGTCGACCGATCATTTGTTCATTTCTCACCATGCGACAGAGAGTTGGTCGAGCGACCGGTCCGGTCGACCGAAAGCTCCATCGGTCGACCGCACCGGTCGACCGACGAAGTCTCATGTGTTTTTGTTTTTCAGACCTGCTCCGGTTCGACCAGATTTTTCGTCGCGTTCGAAGCGAATTCTTTTTTCGGTCGACCGAAACGATCGGTCGACCCCCAATATATCCGTAACACTAACGACTATTTTTCTGAGTTGTCTTCTGGGACTTTTCTGTCATTTTTTGGTTTGGCTGAGATTTTGAGTGGGTATAAATACCCTATTGATGTTCTCTTTCAACCTAACCAAGAGAAAATTTTTAAAGAGTTTTTACAAGTTTGTTTAAGGTTTTCTAAGTGTGTTTAAGAGTTTGGTTTGTGAAAATAATTTCACAAGGGCTTGAGGAGATAATCTTTGGTGTTTGGGCTTCAAATCATCTCTCTCTCACTCTTGTCATTTATTGGAGAAGTTTTCTAAACTCAATCTAGCTTTATATTTTATTGTTTGATTATCATTTTATTTAAGCTAGTGTTTATATTGAGTTTAGTTAATTTTATTTATCTCTTTGTACACACACAACCATTGAGCTTATTGTATTTACATTCATAGTATAATTGGGTTGTGGGATTGTGTAACTTAGAGAGTGAGCTTATAATTCGTTCTCATTCATTGTAGAGAACAAACACTTTGTATTGAGCCTAATTGTGAGGATTCACTTGTAATACACTTGTACACCGAGAGAAGTGTGTGGTGAGAGACGGGGTCGAATCCAAGAGGAGCGGCGTCGGTTGACGTGCCTAGGGAGAGGTTGTAACCGAGCACTTGAGGAGGAGGACACGGGCTAGGACCAACACTTAGTGTGTGAGGTGTGATTACATAGTGAT